GATCAACCTCATTAACTGTTAGATCCCGGGTATGAAGATGTTCACCCCCCATCATCGATTTCTCTCAGTAGGGTCAAGGCTCTCTTCGGAAATTTTCGCAAACCGTAGCCAGCAGGACCTCGCTCTTTGAAGATTTGTCGTACCTCGAAAGCTCTTTGCTTGTCTTCGCCTCCATCAAACGAGAACAAGTTGACACCCAAAGCCCGGCTCTCAGTGCGATCGTTACATGATAATGCCGCGAGCACCATGTCCATGGGTGTGCAATGTTGTATGTTGCCTCCTGATGGTTTTCGACTTTTGTTGACTCGCCTTTCAAGTACTCATGGACATCAACGCCGGCCACTTGAAGGAAATACAGCCATCTGCCGAGTGCTGTCTCGATGTCTGAAGAGTATGCTGACTTTTCACAAGCCCTCTTGACAATATAATGGAATGGAACTAAACACATTGGCTTTTGCGTGCCAGTCGCATCTTCTGCTAACAACTTGAGAAGTGATTGTTGCGCTTCGAAGTTTGGACTGCCCTTCGGGGCGTCAGCGTCCAATTCGCGTTCCAATGCCAAATACCAGCTCATGCGGCGAAGATCTTGGTACTCATCAAACATGTAGCATTGACATCTTTCAAAGCAATACTGAAGATAAGATGGACTCGGACAACGTTCAACAACAGACCGGAAAAGTGGCTCGATGGACTTTTCCTTCCAATACGGAAGTATCATGTCCAAGATTTCGGCAGCGTGATGTCTGCAGTTGAATTTGCACCCATCTTGTCCAGCCAGTGTATAGTGAGATATGAAAGCAGTTCCGAGACTTGAACACGTTATCAGTATCAGGAATCGGATGGGCAGGTAGCATGTACTAGTGCTCACACATTGTATGCTTTGTCTCTCAGCTCTAGAGCGCTTTGTTTCCCAAGAAATCGGACAAGACGTGTGCAGCCAGTATGGGCTGCAGCCTAATTGTATGTCAACCTTCATGAAGCGAACTAAGCACCTGTGTGGTTTCAAAGACACATCCCAAAAAACACGCGTGGAACTCACTTCGAAAAGCGTACAAGGTCTTGTACTCAAAGAATTATGTCCAACAACTTGAGCATTTAACGAAAGACTGCGTTTGCTTAAGAGCTCTTGCAGGGTACCCACGTCATCGTGTAGCAATGCCGACTCAATCTTCTCTGCAATCACATCAGATCTCCGCCCAAGTGTCCAAAGCTTGACAACATAAAGCATGCTCAGCGCAAAAGATGGCGCGGCGATAAACCCTGGTCGCCAGGTAAACTGAACACGGTATGACGAGAGGTAATGCGAGAAGATCAGACTATTTTCAAAATCCATGCGGTCGGGCTGGCACTCGTCTGTGTCGCGAACTTTAGTGGTTCTCTTCTTTCGTTGATGACAGACCTCGAGCGAGAAGATCCAGCGTGAAGCTTCGCTCCGAACTTCCGTCGTCTCCTGAATGATGGTAGACTTGCTACTTTCGACCAATGTGAAAGGCAGGAGCTTCCTGGGAGTTGGCGTCATTGCTGGCGTCATTGCTGTCGCACTGATGTTGAGCATATCGACCGTCTTCTGAGGCTGTGGCGATATGACAAGAGTTCGGTGTAGAACCTCAACTTTCGAGCTGCAAATACTGTTAGAATAAAAGCTCACAATTTGGAGGCATGGATTCCTGATGCAACACACTATATATCAGGTGTCAATGCTCGGTCAAGCATGGCGAGGTCACCATCCAGCTCGGCGACCAACTTCTGAATGGAATCCTTCTGCTTGACGAAAAGCCTTCCTGGCCCGTCGATCAGTCCCTTCTTGGGAACCCTCTTCTGCAAGTCAGTGAGTATTTCTTCGAGCTCTTTGATGGTACCATCAATGTCGCGCAGTAGCTTCTCGCTCATGGCCTCGCTGATGAGACGTTGGCGGTGGTCGACGTTCTCATCCCGGAAGATGGCTTTGATGCGAACGCATTGGTCTTCGACAAACTCGAGCTTCGTTTCCAGTCGCTGAATGTCTCGTGTGCGAGCGTAGCTTTGGATCACAGACTGACTCTTCTTCGACGTGTCGATG